ATGTGAATATGACTGAAAAATTTTCGTTTTTTTTTATGAAAAGGTGGTGTCTATTTACTTGTGACCACTCAGTGTATACATAGACTTAAGTAATCTCTATTAACAATATGTTATTATGATGATTTAAAGTTACTAATAACCAATCAGGGAACGTGGGATAAATGCTACGTTCTGTACTATAAAATATTTTAGCCTCAAAAATCATTGTATTAACTAGTTTATTTAACTCCTTTTTGTGTGCTTAAATTACATTTATTTAGAGACTGTGATCCATGTTATCTAAACAAATTTGTGTGATATATGCCAATGAAAAGTTAATACTTTGTCCAGGGATACACGAGGCATTATGTGACATTTACTTAATCAATTTAAAGTATTTTCTACTTTAAATACGTTTACTTCTAAGGGTAAACAAACAAACAAAAGCACGCATGAAGGGTTATATGACATATACTTAATCACTTTAAAATATATTTTACTTTAAATACGTTTACTTCTAAGGGTAAAATGAACAAACAAAAACACGCATGAAGAGTTACATGGCATTTAATTAATCACTTTAAAATATATTCTACTTAAGACACGTTTAATGTAAAGGTAAACAAAACACACAAGTGAGGTTTTACATGTTGTTTACTTTATCACTTTAAATAGATATTCTACTTTAGATACGTTTAATTTCAACGATACACATTAATTGACTGCTTGATACATATTATTTGAATGCTTCGTTTACATTTATTACATCAATTATGTTACTGGGCTTATCTTAACTTTCTGACAGGTTCAGAGGCTTAACATCATTCCACGCAAGTTTTAAATGTGCTTGATGATTGGGTGCCCTCTCAAACAAGAAGATAATTCTTATCTTTGGTGAATGAGAACCCTTTTGACCCTAAGGGGAATGACTAATAACTGGTAATTATTTAAATATGATGAGAGTTAAGTATGACTTATCAATGGTCATTATCTTTTGATCCAAAAGTTAATTATATTTAGCCACTCTTTTGACTCAAAAATTGTTTGGTGATGGCCGCCCTCACTCAACTCAAGAGATAAGTATATCTAGTGACAGACCACTATTTAAATCCAAGACTGGTTCACTGTTTCACCCAAAAATTAACTATGTTTGTTGACAGGGTTATCCCCCAATCAAGGAAATAATTGTATTTGGTGACTCTTAGTTCTTTCATGCCATTACTAAAGCATATGTGGTGGCTGAATACTTATTGCTATTTGATACAATATAACAGTATGTATTTCTGTTACTTATGTGATGAAAAAATGAACATACAAAAAGCTTCCATATACATGTATATCATAAAATATTAGAAATTAGAAGCAGTAAATACATTAAAAACCAGACAATTTTTAATGGAACATTAATCAGTTTACCATAAAAAACGTAACTATGACGTAGTTAGTAATTGTTTGATGTATATACTACACTAGAAAAAAATATAAACTACTCTTAGTAAAATAAAATTTTGTATAAAAGCATTTAAAGTAAACATATCGCGGTAACAATATCTTAAACTAGAACTGCAACAATCTTTAACCGTCAACGAAACATTTTTTATGTATTAAATATATTAGTATTTAAGTAAAGAACATGTTTAACCTATAAAGATGATAGAAGAATATGTAAAGAAAGTTCTGCCACTGGTAATATGCTTACTGATAGTTTTTACACCAAGACGTTAAAATAAAATGACGAAAGTCTTTCATAAGAGAAACGGTAAATTGTTGTAAGAATATTTTACAGTTGTGTCCGTAACGATGAGATTTTACGACTGACAATGTAAGAACGAGGAAGAACATTGATGACCTTTCAAAGCTTTTGAAAACGCGAAAGCTGATATCTTATCAGTTACCAGTTTAGACCAATTACTGCGTAAAGTACGATGGAAAACGGTTTTATGACCTGTCTGTTCCAGCTCTTGAAGAGATTTCTGAATCGCTGACTCTTCACCATCTAAACCCTCAATGTCTGCAGATGTCCTAGAAAATGAATTGGAATTAGATTCACACATGTTTGGTCTTGTTACATCGTGAGATTTAGGGGTTTGAAAAGCTCCAGTAACTTTGAAAGACTCAGTGTCTTCAGGAGCTGTAGCGTAAAGGTCCAACATGTGGGAATATGCCAAGTTATTTCTATTTTGTTCTTCAAATGTTATTTTAATTTCAGATTCCTCAAAAGATTTGATATTTTCCAAAGAGAACACACAGGAGTCCGGGGTCTTTGGCAGATGAAGAGTTCTCTGATGTTTTGATTTATCAGGGAACTCTCTAGTTCCTGAACATTCGATACTGCCAGAGTTCACTGTGAACGACGGTAACGCATGTGTTTCTGCCACGTCTGTTGCTGTTGGTTTGTAATGAGAATCCTGAATGTTAACATTCCGAAAACATTTGTCATTTTCTACACTCTTGTCAATAGTATTAGAGCAAAAAGATAACACGCCATTTTCGGTTAAGTTTGGTGTTAGAGAAACTTCTTGGATATCATCATCATACGGTAACGACGAATGTGTAGTTTCCACTGCACAGGCGTTTGAGTTCAAATAACTGGGCCATCCAGTTGTCATAGAGACAGATAAAGGAAGTATTTCTGAAGAACAACTGGGTGACTCAGTTGTCATGGAGACAAACGAAGGCAGTATTGTCGAAGAGCAACAGGGGGATCCAGTTGTCATAGAGACAAACGAAGGCAGTATTGTCGAAGAACAACTAGTCCACCCAACTGTCATGGGTACAGGCGAAGGAAGCATTGTCGAAGAACATGAACTTTCTTTTCTGTACTGAGAAGAGAAATTTACATAGTGGCCATTTTCCAAACGTTTCATTGCATGAAATTTTCTATGACATAAAAGATTTGTCCTATGTAAAAAAGATTTTTGGCAATCCTTGCACCTGAAGTTTTTCTCCCTAGTGGTCATCACTGCAGATTCTTGTCTACTGCTGTTGGAAAGTGGCTTCTTTCTTGTGATAGCCATTGGTACACCACTGCAAATATATATATACTTTTTAGGTCATTTATGTTAACAGAAAATTCATTTTACGAGTTTGAGATTTAAAGTTATATACATCCGGTACATATCATACTAATTAACAGATCTTTTAATAATGTCCAACTATGTAGAAATATATTTTAACAATAAAGTCATCTAAAAAGCATTTAATCAAGTAACCAAGGTCAATGTTTAAGTACTGAAGGTAAGGTAATAATATCTCTTATAGATTAGCGTCCATGTAGTAACGTAAATATAACAACCTATTAGATGTGTCTAATTTCTACTTAAATATCTTACTCTATGAAAATGGCATCTAGAGTTTGTACTCTACCACTGTCAAACATCGCAAACAAAATCGTATATTTTACAACAGTAATGGCATCTAGAGTTTGTACTCTACCACTGTCAAACACCGCAAACAAAACCGTATATTTTACAACAGTAATGGCATCTAGAGTTTGTACTTTACCACTGTCAAACACCGCAAACAAAACCGTATATTTTACAACAGTAATGGCATCTAGAGTTTGTACTCTACCACTGTCAAACACCGCAAACAAAACCGTATATTTTACAACAGTAATGGCATCTAGAGTTTGTACTCTACCACTATCAAACACCGCAAACAAAACCGTATATTTTACAACAGTAATGGCATATAGAGATTGTACTCTACCACTGTCAAACATCGCAAACAAAACCGTATATTTTACAACAGTAATGGCATATAGAGATTGTACTCTACCACTGTCAAACATCGCAAACAAAACCGTACATTTTACAACAGTAATGGCATCTAGAGTTTGTACTTTACCACTGTCAAACATCGCAAACAAAACCGTACATTTTACAACAGTAATGGTATCTAGAGTTTGTACTCTACCACTGTCAAACACCGCAAACAAAACCGTATATTTTACAACAGTAAAAAAGCTGCTAGTAAAACTGTGTTGTGGATAATGGAAATATCGCTAACAAAAATGTACAGTTTGTATCAGTTAAAAATGTTCCAACAAAAACATATGTTGGGTAACGGTCGAAAATATCGCTAACTGAACTGTATCGGTTATAATGTCGCTAACAAGCTGGTATAATGCGTATAATAGTTAAAACTACCGTTAACAAAACCGTGCATTGTGTAACATCGCAAGATACTGCTAAATTTCTTACAGTTTTTTTGTTGTTAAACTTAAAGCTACAAAATTGGCTACATGTACTGTGCCCATCGCGAGGAATGAGCCTCGAATTTTAGTGATACATACATCCAAGAGACACTGGAGAGCACTAACAAAAGTATAGATTGTATAATAGACACTAACAATTGAAAATATCATAACAAACCTTGCTAATATTAAGAAAAAAACACTTTTTCTGCAGGTGTATTTTTCCACATTCATCTTAGTTACTCCATGAAGGATTTCAAATCAGAAATGTATAAAAATTTCAGATTTGTCTTATGTCTGTCTCATTAGGCCTACTTCTTCCATCACCTCGACAGCTTGTGGTATCCTCCGCAACAATCTATTTAGTATTGTATATAAATGGTAATTCTAATGGATTTCTGACTAATTGTGGTCTAATCAAGCCAACGAATTCTGATACTGAATGAAAATTCTCCTGTTCTTTTTATACTTAAAAGCTGAAATGAGCTAAACAAGAGGAATGTGGGAAAAACGTTTGTAGAATATGTGGGAGTTTTTTCACAAACATTAAAGCCTATTGGTTGTATTTCTTCGACATTAGACGGCGTTTTGGCAATACAGTATATTTTAATTATATTTTCATTATGCTTCATGTTTTTTAATATACAATGCTCAGATTATCTTATAATAATGAAAATGTTAATTCAGTCCAGCAGTCAAAGTTTATGGTTTTCCATATAATCGTGTTGTAAAGTATCTAGCCATCGAAAAGACTTCAACTATTAAATATCTAACCTTCTCTTCGATTCCATTCCAAAACATTTATACTTCTCACAAATACCCCTCCTCAAGTGTCCAACCTTTCCATAAACTCGCAATCCAACCTTTTAACCATAAAAAAATATCCGTAGAATGTGTTACACTTAGTTTCCTAATCCAAAATAATGGAAAGTTTCCAGCGTTCAACCAGATTCTCATTTTAAAGTGGGTCAAATTTATTTCAAACTGGCCAATCTATAGTCTCCATTTATTTTCCACAACTTGCATTCTAAACAGTGTATTCTCCCTCCTTAAGCTCCAATTTCAAAATGTTTATCATCCACATAGGTTCCCATTTTAAAATGACCAGTCTTTCTATAAACTCTCATTTTGTCCCCATCCCAGTGGCACAGCAGTAAACCTGCAGACATATAACGCTAGAAACTGAGTTTCAATACCCGTAGTGGACACAGCACAGATAGCCCATTGCGTAGCTTTGTACTTACTACAAACAAACAAGCAAAACTTTAATTTTAAAAGGCTTTGATTTCACGTAAAACCACACCTCAAGTATACAGCCTTTACATAGTGATCAGTTTTAGTGCCAAGTCTTCCTACTCTGAAATATACGTTATCTGTTTATATTAAGTTCACAATTTGAAGAGCGTATAGATGTTTTTTTTAAAGATAATTGAATAAACACAAACTCACATCCACAATTGAATCTACTAGATATATTTGGAGTCTCCTATTTCTTTAAGAGCTGAATTCCTAATATTTAAACCTAAGATAGCTCGTGCAGCCGTGTAACGTAAGCCCAACAGGAGGTAAACACAAGGGGTTATTCAAAAATAACTCACACAGACTGTGGCCTAGACGCATTCGTGGTTCATTATGCATGACACAGGGCAACGAGTTTAACACAAACAGATATCTGCGTTTATTTTATATACAGAAAGGCAGTTGTCAGATCGCTATTCTCTGTTATATACTATTAAGTTTCTTTTGCACAATAATTTTCATTGGGTTTTTCTTTCGTTTCTTTAATTCCAACTAGAATATATCAACATAAAAAACATACACTTGCCATAGAGTCTTGTCTGACGCCATGGTTTAATTGTTAAAACTTGCCATAAAGTCTTGTCTGACGCCATGCTTTAATTGTTAAAACTTGCCATAGAATCTTGTCTGACGCCATGCTTTAATTGTTAAAACTTGCCATAGAGTCTTGTCTGACGCCATGCTTTAATTGTTAAAACTTGCCATAGAGTCTTGTCTGACGTCATGCTTTAATTGTTAA